TATGCTGTAGTCGGCAATCTTCCGTTTTGGTATAGAGTGGGACAGGGAGGGGGTGATGCTACTGTAGTCGAACGGTGGGACGGACGTGCAGTTCAGTTTTTGGGCACGCATACGGTGCTGCAGGGATTTTTAGGTGTACCTCTTCGGGCTCTTGGATACCTTTTTCTCGTTATATGTTTGCGTGTTCTTTAGATCCTCAGATGGCTCTAGCACTTTCGTGACCGCGGGCTGAGAGTCTTTGCTAGATTTTGGCATTTAGCAACTGACATACGGTTTAATGTGAAGACAACAACAACAACAACAACTGACCAGAGACCGACACCCTTTTCACGTCTAAAAACGACTTACGCACTCTTTCATTCGTGCGTTGTTGCAAGTCGTGCTTTACCCTGCCTCCCTCGCGCATCACCGAGCACCCCCCAAATAGCAAGTGCAGCAGCATCCAACGGTGTTCGTGTAACTGGAAAAATGGCACAAAGTAATTTTTTCATCTTGAGTGATGCGCACTTCGTCGTCATTGTTCGCATTTTGACGGGTGCATTTAGCTCTTGGCTCTCTCTTGGCTGGCTCTCTCACGGACATGGGCTGGGACCCCCTGCCCCTCGGGGAGTCTTGGAACATTAAATTGCTCTCCACAACGTCGATAGTGCGTGAAATATAAACATTACATCTAGATAGTATTTCACCAGTCCATCCCAACCTTTGCGCAGAACATATTACACCTCCCCGTGTTAACACAACCGTATTTTATACTGCTGTAGATCCCTGGTGGACTTGACGGCGGGGGTTTGTAAGATACCACTGGGGGTGGTATTCGGCGGCATACAATTACACCGACAACAGACAGTTGTCTGCCTTAGACCGGAAATACGCATCAATCGATTGTTTTCGACCCCAATCATTCCTCGTCGACACACCACATCCAGCGTCCCACGTGGTCCAGGGAAGACTTGGCCTTTCTTCTCTAAAGCCGAGACTACAAATGTAAACGTGTCGTCAAGGCAAAGCAAATCAGTCAAAAAAATTCAACACGTCTTTCGCGACTCACCGACCACTGGCCGATCTATGAGGTGATCTCATAGGTGAGGAGGGCGGTGAGGATACTCGTTGGGAAGGTGAAGGTTGTAGGGAACGACGCTCAGAATCTACGGAGGACATCTTGCGGAAAGCAGCAACCACAGACCAGCAGCCTGCAAAGAACAGGAACGTCTTCAGCGCATCTCATCTGTCTGGGTTGGCAGCTCATGTTTCGGCGGCCCCGCAGAATACGATCGCTCTTCATGCAGTAATGGCGGGGGTCCTGAGGCTAAGGGAGAGAGGGGAGAAGCGGAGAAACTTGGACCACTCGCACAGAGTCACTCACAGCGGTAGCAGCTACCATGATGACCATGGATGTGAGATGGACACCGAGCAGCGCGGAAGAGAAGAACTACTATGATAGATTGTTCCAGCTGGCGGATAAGTCTGGAGCACAGAGATTGGCTGGTTCAGCTGCGGTCACTTTTCTCCAAGCTAGCGGACTGCCATTCCCGTTACTTAAGCAGGTGAAAAATCTCACATGTCCGATGTTGTTATACTACGTATCTTATTCAGCAACTCTCTTACAGCAGTACTATCGCTGTGCACTCATCACCTTTGTCTATCATATAAGAGCACATTGCCTACTTAAAGTGATGATGCTCCAGTTAGGCTGGAACGACAATCATGAAATGAGATAGATCTCGAGCAAGCGATTTATGATGAAATGTACCGGTGTATGCATAGCGCGGCGATGTTCTGTGGATGTTTCATGACAGTAAACTTGGAACCTTTGGCGCCCACAGAATGATCTGGCTATCTGGCCTCCTCTGAGAAATCGAGGATCGTCTGGACTGCACAAGCTGGGCCAGCCAAGAAGCAAACAAAAAGGTTGAAAGCCAACTACACCACGATTTTTACCAGTCAGCACCTGATATCATTTTGACATGTGGTTCGTATGTTATCGGACTGCTAGCTTTACATTTTTTTTTTTCATGAGGTAGCCCTGTGAAGAATGGGAATCCTATTGTGTAAAAGCAGGACCAAAAAATGAGGAATTGAAAAAGCGGCTATCGCTTGTGTTGGTTTTAACAATACCAACCACATGTCAAAAGTTTCAGATTCCAACTCGTAAAAATCGTCATGTATTTTGCGATAACCTCCGATGTCCGTAGCTATCTTGTGTTTTGTATCGGATTCTTTTCGAGGCCGTAACTCTTGATGGAAGATGATGTGAGCCTTGCAACTGCCATCATTTTTCTCCCAATGCTCCCAGGGAAGCGCACACCACATTTCAGCTTTTTCTGTGAAACTTGTTTGATGCTGATTCAGTACCGCAAGCATCCCCCGCAACGCCGCCGATTGATTGTTTAATACCTGAATCAACTCGGTTTCGAAAAATTCTGGCACCTGCGGTTTCCTCCTGTCTCCTAAATGTCGCGCGGTAAACCAGGATTGTACACGGCGTACCGTTCAACAACGCATTTTATTAATGTAGTGTCAAATATTGCTGTTCAATGGTTGAACTCGAGCAATTCACCAGATGGAACACTTCATAGGGTAGGTGCTCGGAGTGGCTGCGCGCATGACCTCGCGTTGGTATCTTCGTGCTCATGGTACAACTGCTGGAACCCAACAATTTGTGCGCTCCCCCATCTGTCAAAAGTCAGAACCTGCCCGAGTGCGGATACGGAGAGTTGCAGTGTTCAAACCCCCGGTTGAAATGTTGCACGTTCGTATGAAACCTAGTAGCAGAAATTGTTGATTGTCAGACTTCATGATGGGTTTGTGGAAGGAGACTTACGAGAAATTTGATGGCAATGAACAGGGTCGGACAGGAAACACTTGGGGAGTGGGAGTCCCGGTTTAGCGGTTCCCTGTGAAGCGAAAATCGCAGTGCAGAGGTTACCGAGTCTCGTTACACCACTGCACCTGTTTGTTTGCAGTGAGCAATAACGGTTATCGATTCAAATTATGCGGAGACCCCGCACTCGCTTGCACGCACAGACAGCGAAAGACACCCACGGCGGGCCACGCGCACACGAGGCAGTGCACTCACTTATTTCGCTCCGCACCCCCACGCCGAACCGATATCGCAGAAGACATGTTTGATTAAGCGAGACCAATACACGTGAGCGATTAGCGTGAGAAAGTCGCACAAACGAATTCAACATGAAGTCACTGAAGCACGAGGTTAGGCCCATTATTGCCCGCGAACCCAAAATTTAAAACCCCCTCCCCCCTCGGTGTAGAGACTTGGAGTGCCCTCGGAGAATGAAGCTTTTGGCCAAGTGTTTAAGAAGGAGGTGGACGCATGGGCCCAAAAAGAAGAAGAGACATCGAAGGCAGACGTTGGGAACGTAGAACTAGAAAAGGAGTTCACTGAGGACGAGGTTGAGGCGTGTGTGAACAAGCTGAAGTGCCACAAAGCAGCAGGAGCGGATGGGATAGTCAACGAGTTCATGAAGTTTGGGGGGAAGGGGATGATCCAGCTGATG